ATACATTATTCATACCTTCGGTGTATAGGACACAAGCAAATTTTTGGGTAAAAAAGTGCGTCTTATACACCGAAAATGAAAAATACAGTAGTTTATGAAATGTATAGAAAAATATACAAAGTTTAAATACAGAATAATATCCAACTATTAGCATAATAATTATGATTAATTTCAATTTCTTTGATAACAAAAATTACCATTATTTAAAAGAAAAAGTTGTACTTTTTGTATGCAACAGTTTCATATGTGCTTGAATTTGATCACATGTGAGATATCGCTGATTCTCATAATGCAGACATACTGTTGCAACTTATTCCTGCAATATGTTTAATGTGTAAGGATAAAGAATATGATTCTGATAGATAATTAATATAAATGTTACATAAAAGTAAAATATATTTCCGTAGAAATGTGCTAATGCTGTATAGGTATATTATAAAAAAAGGTATATAACTGTGTATAAATAACTTCATGAGCAATATTCAGGAATGAACTATCTGGGAGTTATCATGGTACTTAATGAATTTTTGGAGTCATCTGTTTTATTCTTTCACTACTGATTGACATTATGATGCCATAAGTCAAACTTCAAAGGCAGATACAGATTGTAAGTGAAGTCAGCATCAAAGAAAGAGGCTAATAAATTGATTTATTTTTTAGGAAGAGATGATTATATAAATAATAGTATAATATAGTATTGATTAATTTTATCTTTTATTTGCTTTTCTCAACAGTAGTTGTTTCTGTTTTCCAGTTTTATGGTTTTTCTATTCAGTGTTAGTTTGGATATGCTAGTGATACTTGATTTACTTGGCAAAGTTATAATTTCCATAAAAACTTGGGACCTTTTTTAGTAAATCTGCATTTTGAACTTGCACGTGTTTAGTAATATGTTTGTTAAATTTACATGTATAAAATTCTTTCTTGTTTTGCAGTTTTGAATAATTAAAATTCAACACTGAATACCACTCTGAACAATAATTGTCAGTTTTTCTCTTCAGTAATTTTTATTTTTGCAGTTTTGATTATTATCAAAAGAAAATTTAACTATACATTTTGTAATTTAAATAAATGGTCATTTGAAAATTACAAATTACAAAAAGAATTACGTACAGGCTAGCAAAGTTAAATGTGCCCATCTTATATTTAAAAATTATGATTTATTATTGTTCATCTGAATATAGTAATGCTTTTAACTAACTCAATTAATATGAAAACAGTCGTACTTTCAATGTATTCAACCATTTTCATTTGTATGTTCCTTTGAAATTAATATACAATATGTGTATGTAGCCTACTGAATTTGTCGTGTTATGTACTTTCCTTTTGTATAATCAAGTAGTAAGACCAGAAAACTTATTTGTATGAATATGTATGTGTGTGTGTGTGTGCACATGTGACATGTACATTAGATGCCAGTAAACTGCCATGTTATGTTATAAAACTATAATTTTTTTTACACATGAACATTTCATAGATGTATAGATTTCTCTCTGTATATGTACACACACACACACACACATTTGTATATGTTTAATAATATTGATCCTTTATACTTGAATGCCATGCATGCATGGGCATTTTTTATATATATGAACTATAAATATGTACATGCATGTATATTAAATAGTAGTACAATGCATGTTTAATGTTAAAAGCCCATAATTCAACATAAAAACATCTATTTTTATGTGTATTTGTGTGTGTAAATACAAAGCATAGCCAAAATGTTCATAATGAGACTTAATTTTTTATTTTTTCCATTACCAGTCCTTGTCATTGCCATTAAGTCATAATATAGTCTCAGCTCTCATAAGCATTGAGGATATTCCATCTATCAGACATGATCCAAATGTAGGTGTCAAAACTGGTTAGCAGCCAAGGAAAATTGATTAGAAGTTAGAAGTTGAGTGCTTAAACTTACAATATTTCAACTCTTACTGCCTTTCTCTGTCTGCAGGGCTTGTGGGAAGACAGTCAACCCCAATCTTTAGACCTTTAGACATATAAAAACCATCTTATATTTCTACATTTTAAGACTCCCAACCTACACCCTTTTCAATAAATATTATAAAATGATGTTAAATAAGGCAATCATCCCAATTTTTAGATATAAGAATAACCTTGTAGTAGAAATAAACCACCATATTTCTACTTTTGTAAGGCTATCAACTACTTTACATGACAACCCCTCATTCCAGCTTACATATATATAATATATATACATGTTTGCTACTACATTAACCTTTTATTTGTTTAGCATCTGATATATATTTATGTAATATTTCTTGCCTTATGATTTTTGTAAATTTTTTACAGGGAAGTCTTTTGAGTATGATCCTGAATTTAAGGGACCAGTTAAAAATAGGTAAGTGACAAAATATCCAGATTACTTCATGCATTCTACTTTAAAGAAAGAAATACCATAGTTTTAAAACCTACAACGATAATAATTTACATTTAAATACTTTTGGATATGATCAAATTACAATATCTTAGTTAATGTATGCTTATACTATTTTGAAAGATAAATGCATACATATGCAAACAAGAGTAAGGTATGATCTGTTGACTAGTACTTTACAATAAGACTAATAATAATTTTCTACAAATCTTTCCTTATAGCACTATACAATGAGTTTCCAGTAAGAAGAAACATAATAGCATCTCAACCTCATATCTTTTGCATCACATGCTACTGCCAATGAGGGTTCTTGCTCAGTACTGTAGTATGCAGGTGGTGTTTCCCAACTCTCGTAGCTATTACAGAAATTTTCAAAATTTTTTTCTAAATATTGGATATGTATTCTTAATGTAGAGTGTTGGTCAAGGAGACCACTCCTCTCAACCTAATTACTCACAGAACTAGGTCATTCAGTTAGGGTGCTTCATGTTCTTTCTCATGGGAAAGGTTTCTGTGACTTAGATATGTGTAGGAGTAGACAATGATCTTTCCAGGCAAGGATACAATTTTCCTTATTTTGAAGTGAGAGTGATCATCAGGCACATGGGTACCACCTGTTCTGAGAAGAATGGCATTGTCATTTTAATATATAATGCCAAGTTTTCTCATTCTGAAACATGATTTTTAAAGAATAATTTAAGATTTTAACATGATTACTGATTTTCACTAGGGAGCTGTCCAGTAAATGCACCCAAAACATACACTTGTTAACCTTGATTATTTGTCTATTGAATAAAGATAGTTTTTGCAATTGACATCATAGAATTCAGAAGTTTGTTTTGCAGTAGCTTTTTCTGGTAAACTTCTTGTTATTCAGCAGTTTGTATCCAATTACCTGAAAAGAAGTAAGTTAACTTGAAATTACACATTGCAGGGAGGACATAGTAAATTTGTTGCTGTGACCATATGATTTGTTTTTGCAAAGTATCTGTTTTTCTCTTGATGAGTGTATTTGCCTGTGATCTTTAGAACTATTCTGTGTTATTGAGATGAAATTTTTCACATGAGAAAATGGTATTTTCCAGGAGCTAACAGACTAATAAACTAGAAGAAGAGTTAGGTACTGAGGAGCAGCAGCTTTTAGGGGTTGTTTCTCATAGTCATCAGACTTTTGCCACTGCAGCAAAGGTCCAGGACTTCTTTCTTCCTGTGGCTGAAGACCTGGGAATGAGAATTGCTGGAATGTGGTGAAACTAAAATAGCCATTTTAGGTCTCCTTTTGAGGTTTAACCTCAGTGCACAGGAGGCATGGATGACTGGGGTTTGTTGCAGTGATGCTCCATCTGATGAGTCTGAGACTGAAAGGGGACTCTATAGGACTCCCAGGACCAACCGGAGTAGATCAACCATAGCTCTGAATGATGCCTCCCATGGCAAGCCAAGAGAGATTAGAGGTTCCAGAGCTGTTTCACTAGCACGTTCGACAGTTGGCATGAACTGATGGCCTCTATACGATGTGAAGTATGCTACCAGGGTAACCATGAGTCATAAAGAAGTCTGGGACATGCAGAGCCAGTGGATGAGCTACTTCCAGTAACTCTTTTTTTTCTGCCACTAATTGGCATGGATCTAACTCTTGTTCAAGTGTAGAGGTCCCTATACAAGCCAACTTCACTGCACCCATGAGGATTAGTGTGTCTTAGCTTAGTATTGTTTAAGATCTTTTGGGTGAAAGTTTTACACTAAGATAACAGGTACTAGTAGAGGTTAAACATATTACACCAGGATGTTTAAAGGTACAGCAAAATAGGACCTGGACCATTTCTTGAAGCATTCTAGGCAGATCACTGCTTGGTATGATTGGACTTGGGAACAGGTGAATCAGTGCTTGACCTGGGGTTTGGATGGTTCATCCTTTCATGCTACTAGAAACTTAAGTGAGGAACAACTACAACAATGGAAAGTATTTCTGGTGGAGTTATACCAATGTTACAACCTGGTGGAAAGCTGAACTGTCCATTGGGCTGAGTTCAAGGCTTGAAAGAGAGGTCTGTCTGAGAACTTGACTGCTTATGTGGATGATATGCTTTGATTTATTGGGGAAATGTATCCTGTAATGGCTTTGGTAGATATTCTTATAGACAAGTTCGTTGAAGGGTTATCTAGTGAGACCATGAAGTATCACTTATGTGTTAGAGATATTCTTACCCTAATGGGAGCAGATTCTTGATGATGAGGTTCAAAGGCACAACTTTGAATAGGTTGAAAGAGAGGAAAAAATCCCAATCAAATGACTGCCTCATGTAGAGGTCAAGCTTTGTTGACAACACTTTCTGGTACTGTGACACCCCCCACTGACTCCCAGTAAATGATCCTCCTGTGATGTTTGTGCTGCAGCCACTGCTAACAATGCCTTTTCCTGGACCTTGCTTCATAAAGGAGTACCAAAGTGTCTGCTTTACATCTAGGCAGAAAAGTCGCTTCAAAATGAACTGTCCGTACTTTGGTGTGCAGCAAGATAGGTGAAGCTACAATTTTTGATTGACTGCAAAGCAAATGCAGGAGGGTCTTATACTTGGATAATGCATCATGCAGCATGTACCATAAGGTTGGTGGTTATTCCAAATCACTCAAGACTGTTTGTTTATGTCCATAAAAGTACAAGGGTGAGAGATAGAGTTTCTGATTGATACAGGAGCTACCAGTACACTAGTTGATCTTGTGTATCAGGCACTTGGAGTAAAGCCACTATTCCATCCAGTTAACACTGATCTTGTTCTGGTAAATGAAGACGGACTAATGTGACTGGAGGTGCATGTCTCTGACTATGTCAAAGTATCATTAACCACAAAATAAAGATGGTCTTTTCTAACCTTGGTTCTGGCATTGAAATCCTCAGGATGGACATATAATGAAAATTATCATTCAGGTTTGCCTATAAAACTGGTGATCTGCATTTTCAGAAGAAAACCACCTGATGCTTACTTGACTAAGTCCAGTGACAGTGGACTACATGAGTGTATATTATGGAGGGAGTCACAGTAACTTCATATGCACAAGTGGTGTTCTGTGGTTTTCTATGGAAAAGATCTAGTTTGCTAGCACTGTGTAATGTAGTAATAAAGTCAGAGCATGGAATGCACTGTTTTCTGACTAGAAATCATGCAGTATTAGAAGTTAGGATATACCAACAAACTACAGAGACCCTCAAGTACTGTACGAAGCCAAAAAGTTCAACAAAGATCTCACTCTCTCTTTGTTCCTCAAGACAGTAGTCCTCGAAACAACCTAATCTCAAACCCAGGAGAATATGAGCAAAAGGAACACGATACTTCAGACGCCATGACAACGAATATTGACCAATGTGGTAGCGGGGGGAGCCATATTCCATTCCGGGAAAACACCCCTGTCCGAGAGCCTCATCTAGCTAACCAGAAGCCTGTCAGTTATCTCTGTTTGAGGAAGAATTAAGTCCTGTTGTTCTTCTGATATAAGGGCAGTCAGCTATCTAGCTCCTTGCTGGAATGGTCATCAGCACAGAAGAGAATGGAGTTAACTGGTGCTAGTGGTATTGCTAGTGTTACTTCCATTGCAGTATGTCTGAAAACAAGTACTTAGTTGTTTACACTTCTGAGGTGGAGTATCTATAGACCCTTCAAAGATTGAAGTGGTTTGAGACTGACTTCAATCCTTGATGAAATGAGAATCCTGCAGATTCCTTAGTTTTTTATCATAGTAATAATTCTTCATGGTCAACTTTTTCAAGATTACAACACCATTATCTACTCTCCCTAAAGTCAATGCACATTTTAAATGGACCTGTGAGTTTGAATGAATATTTCTGACCCCAAAACAAACTTTAATGAATGCTTCAGTGCCTGCATATATCCATGACAGGACTGTGAGTTTTTGTTGAATCCTGCTGCCAGCAATAGTAGAATTGAATTATGTTATCACAGGTTCAGGATGGGGTGGAACATAGGATATAATGCTATGTTTCTCCAGTCTGGAATGTGAGTTTGGAGAATGATTTTGTTTTTAGATTTTAACATAGTTATTAATTTACAATAAAGAAATCTGAAGTAAAGATTCCTAACACACACACTTGTGTACCTTAGTTGTTTGGGCATAAAATGAAGACTTTTTTATGATGTTTTACATTGTGTCCAGTATCTTTCTTTGCTTAAAACTCTGTTGAGGTGGGAGAATTCAAATATTTGCTGCACAGTACATTTTCTTGCAAACTTCCCATTATTCTGCAGTTCTTACCCAATTAGTCAAAGGGAATTGGTGAACCTGAAAATACCACAATATGTTAAGCTCTGGTATTAAATGAAATGCTCCATTAGCATTGTTATATGGTGCATTAAATGTGTGGTCAAGATACAGTTATGTTTCTTCTTACCAAAAACCCATAGTATAGGGCCAGTAAAGAAATATTTGTAAACAAATTATTATTAGCCTTATTATGATTTAATGTAATACAAACTACCAGTGAAAATATCATGCTTTGTCAAAATAAGGCTGTGTATACCATAATAATTGATATATACAAATGACTAATATAAGTATTGCTTTGACTTAAAATTGACTGAGGCTTTTTGATATTGAGTGAAAGGCCTTGTTGGCAGTAGC